ATATTACGACAGTTTATATCCGTCGGAAATCTGTCGGTTAATTCCGACGGAATACCGACGGTAGATAAAACCGTCGGTATTCCGTCGGAATTAACCGACGGATTTCCGACGGTTTACATTTGGTCGCAATTTCGTCGGTAAACCGTCGGAAAATTCCAACGGAATTCTCGTGCGTCGGAATTTCCGTCGGAAATCCGGCTGTTTTCTTGTTGTGAAAGCCCAACATAATAAGTAAAGGCCGTAAGATATAAAATCCACATGAGAAGCAATGATCACGACGAAGACCTTCAGAGGCGTGATCGAAGCAAAGAAGACGCATTAGCCACTCAGATGTCTCATCAATCGAGTGCGATTCCAAAACCAAACCACACTCAGAAGAGAGCGTATCTCCGGAGGAGTGATCCACCACCAACTCCGTCTCCATCTTACAATCCGTACAATACGCATCCGACATGATTCCCAAGAGAAAATAAACCCTAAATCAAACAAACTCCGAGAGAGAATCGAAAACACGATGGATATGTGGAGAAAGGAAGAGAGAATCCCTAGGTTTTGCTTTATAGACAAAGAGAAAGAGATAGAGATACACTCCTCCGTGGTGAGGTACGATCTGGATCGTTATGTTTAGTGGGACCTATTGGTAATTAATCTAACGGTTGATTAAGCCTTTTTCTTTTTAAGGAGGACAGAGGAAAAAGAAATAAGTTACTTGTTAAGGAAGTCATACCGGTCACATCGCATGTCCAGTGAGCTTTGATCCTCTATATATTAAAAGTGCAGGCATCTCGAGCAAAAGTGGTAAATGTTATCCCCTCCATTCACGGCATTCGGTTTGAGCCCTCTACTCAACATTTCATGAAAGGCTTCATACAATACCCTCGCACCAAAGTGCTTCATCAGCCATGGAATTCTTACAAAACCCCCTTATCAAATATGTTTAAAGTGAACGAATCTGGAGTATCCCGACGCAAAATGGAGAGAAGACTGTTGAATGTAACAACGGAAGGCGAGACTCCCATCCTCGAACAGCCCAGCGTTTCCGTAGATCCTCGAGCTTAACGCAGCCATTAGACCTTTTCTCAATCGAGAACGAGCCACGTTGAGATTCCGAGCTCGGCCTAGGAACTCTAACATGAGGAAGAAAGACTGCTCTTTGTGAGAGTTGGAAACCCAGTCAAAGAAGAGGATTGAAGGGCTGAGATTTAATGGCCGCCATTAAAGCTGCTGGTTAGCTAACAAGAAATGGATTATGATTGTTTGTTGAAAAAGATTCGTCTTCTTCGCTCTGTAATTCTAGATTTGATTCTTCTTCGAGAATCTAGCAAAGTAAGATTCGATTATCATTTGTTACGATTGATTCATACAAGTTTCACGTTATCAGTGTTTGTAGAGCGGTGGTTCTAGAGAGCGGTTCAGATGGATGAAGAGAAGAGAGTGAAGACTCGACTTCGTCTGACCACGGCTTAGAGTTGACAGCACGAGCCGTGGACCTGGCGGGTTTTGATTTGGTCGAGGATTTCGATGCTTCATGGCTAACTTTGGCTTGGACAATCGAAGGTACACACCTGTAAGAATGAATTGGATGATTTGAGAGAGTATTCGAGACAAGCAGAGTGGGGAGAATCAAAAGAAGGAAAGCAATCGATTACCGCAGAGGACGTTCAGACTTGGAGGAAACGAACAAAGCATGGAGCCCTCAGCCTGAAACCATTGAGGAAGAAAGTTGCCGCGAAATATGATGGTCGCTCGACGACCACCGCTCCAGACCTTCCGGCACCTTGAGGGATCAAGAGACGAAGACAAAGACGACGTCGTTTTTTCCATGATCTAGAGTCCAATGTAAATGAGTAAATGGGCTAGTAAGAGAAGGCCCAATTAGAGAGATGGACCAACACGGCGCTTTTATTTCCTAGTTGTGTTTCTTTTAATCGTTTTTATCCATCCTTAAAAGGGCCCCACATTTCCTAGTTCATAGTATCATGCAATTATGGTGGAATTATTATCCGAGATTCGTATTTATCCGTTCTGAAAATTAGGATATCCGACGAGTGTAAATTCAGATAAAAATAGTAAAATTTAAGATTCGTGAAAAGAGGATCCGGATCCAGAAAGCAAAATTTTAAAGTGCGGATATCCGGATCTTGTTCCAGACCCATTAAAATATATTAAAAACATAG